ACCCTGGTTTGCCCACGTGCAGCTGGAGGGAAAGAAGACCTGGCCGCGCTGCTCTCCTCGGCTGCAAACCTGCACGAGCACGGAGTCTTCTGCGGGGAAAGAGGACGTGGCTTCGCCCCCTGCGTGGGCCTCCCCGGTCCTTCAAACCGCGGACGCTCTGCAGTGCTGGACATGCCGGGGTCAAAGCTGCCTTCAGGACCCTTGGTGATGCCCGAGCACAGGGGGTTTGTGTCCTCTGGGGCCACACAGTGCGTGGGAAGGACAGCAGGGACGGTGGCGTTTCAGGAGGGCCCTGCGCTTGGCTTCCCCAGCGCCTCTCCCTCACTGCTCATTCTCTCCCTGTCGCTTGGCTGTCGGCCGACTGCTGGAGACACCTGCCAGCCCCGCTGGGCACTGTCCCTGTGAGCACCAGCCAGGGCGGGACGGGGGGGGAGGAGGGCCACCAAGGCCAACTCACAAAGCACCCTCCGGTGTCAACCACACACCACAGGTGTCACCTTTGCCTCCCACAAGGGACCGAGAACCGATCATTGTGCGAGGCCATTTTTTGGTGCAATTTGTTTGTGATCACTTTTCAAGTAAGGTCTGGCTCTGTGCGTGAGTGTGCACGTGCGGGTTTGATTCCACCTCCAGCGGGGGCAGGTCTGTGTGTGTGTGTGTGTGTGTGTGTGTGTTCTTGGACCCAGTTTAAAATCAGGTGGCCAGCTGGGTGCGATGGCGCTCGCCTGTAATCCCAGGGGCCAGGAGGCTGAGGCAGGAGGATCTGGAGTTCAAGGTCAGCCTCAGCAAGTTATCGAGGCCCTAAAGGGCTGGGACGGGGCTCAGTGGTAAAGCGCCCTGGATTCAATCCTGGTACCAAGAAATCAATAAATCAATCAAGTAAAACCAGGGGGTCAGAGGTGGTGTGTTGGGTGGTCTCCCTGGGTTCACAGCCTCGCGCAGGGGGTGCCAGGAAGGCAGTGAGTGCTGGTGACAGTCCCCGTCTGGGTCACCGCTCCTGAGTTCCTGCTCCGGGCTCCCGGGCCAGTCCCAGGTGTCCCCACAGCCCACCCGCCCCGGGCCTGTAGGGGGACGCTGTCCACCGAGGCTGCGGCTGCCCGGGGGGCCCGAGCACAACTTCTCCCCAGCCGAGGCGGCAGGACCGCTCCCCGCTGGCCACAACGCACGAGCCCTGGGCGGTCCCAGCCTCACCTGCAGGAGCCGGGCAGGAAGGCCGGCTGGGCCTCGGGGGCTGCGCTGGGATCAGTGGCCCGAGAGCTGGTCCTTCGGCAGGTGAAGCAGGACAAGGAAATCCCAGCCCGAGAGTCGCAGGGGGCGGTGATCTGAGCGCAGAGTTGCCCGGGGTCCTCCGATCCTTGGGCACGGGATCCCCGCACGATCCCCACACCGGCGCTGGCTGTCACCGAGCGAATTCATGGCAGGATTCACAGCCCAGCAACTGGAGGCTGAGGCAGGAGGATCCCAAGTTCTAGGCCAGCCTGGGCACTTTAGCAAGACCCTGTCTCCAGGTGACATAAAAGGGGCTGAAGGTGTAGCCCAGTGGTCGGACGCCCCGCTCCGTTCTCCAGTGTGTGTGTGTGTGTGTGTGAACAGTTCTCCTCTTAAATGGCGGCACACACCTGTCATTCCAGGGAGGCTGAGGCAGGAGGACGGCAAGTTCAAGGCCAGTCTCAACAACTTAGGTCCTCAGTAACTTAGCAAAACCCTCTTTCTACATAAATAAATGAAAAGGGCTGGGAATGTAGTTCAGTGGCAAAGTGTCCTTGGGTTCAATTCTCAGTACCCCCCCCAAAAAAATCAGCATTAAATCAAACAGACATGAGGTTCCCGACACGGTCCAATGCAGCTATAATGTCACTTGTGTGGTTCTCATAACTAGAAAACACATTGCTCGAATATAATTATGAGAAAACCAGTGAACCCTGGTGGAGGAACCGTCTACAAAACAGTTTGTATTTACTCTTCAAAAATGTCAATATTATGAAACACAAGGCAAAGCTGAGGAATCGTTCCAGATGAAAGGAACCAAGAGAGACCAGGCAACCAAATGCAGCGCCTGATTCTAGAGTCCTAGATGGGGGGCGGGAGGTTCTGACAAGCACATCATTGGGACAATGGTGAGATTTGGCGGGGATTGAACCCGTGGTCCTTTACCCCTGAGCTACATCCCTCATCATTTTAATTCTTTAAAATTTTGAGATGGGCTCTTGTAAGTTGCTGAGGCTGACCTCAAACTTGCCATCCTCCTGCCTCAGCCTCCCAAGTAGCTGGGATCACAGGTCTGCACCACCACACCCGGCTGGGTGAGACGTGTGTGTGTGTGTGTGTGTGTGTGGTTTTCCTGATAATATTGTAACAATGTTCAATATTTTGAATTTGTAACTGAAATATGGTTGTATAAGGGAATGCATAAGAGAACGTCCTTGGTCTTCAGAACAGAGGCTCAGGTCCAAAGTGGGCGAGGGGCTTGCTCTCCGCAACTCATCCTCAAATGGCTCAGGAAAAAGAAAACAGCAAAGGCCGGGAGGGCTGAGGCCCACGGGGGGGTCGGCTGGGTGAAGGGTGACCTGAGCCTTCCACGCAGCTCTGTTCTAGGTTTGAGATTGTTTCAAAATTTAAAAAATAAAGAATAAAAGCAAGCGAGCGAGTACATGATGCCGTGCTCTTCTCCTCTTTCAGAGAGGAAAAAAGAAACGGCCACTTTTCCCACGGCAGACATCTCCGTGGGCAGTGAAGTGCTTCCCAGTGTTCCTCAGACAGCGCGTGTGACAGTGGTTGAGGATGTCACAAGACACACTCTAAGTCGGAAACAGAAGCTGCCTCGCCTGAGAGAGGCCCTGGGTTCCACTCCCAGCACCAAGAAAGAAGGAAGAAAAAGGGATCAGAGGGATTGTCGACATCACCGTTTTGTTTCGTGAAACTTCAGTTGTATGTAGTTACGTGTGGTCCCGAGTGTCTACACCACGCACAGCTGTGTGCGTTAATGCGTCCCTACTGTGTGCTGCCGTTTTTAAAACATCTGGAAGCCGTGATGCTATGGTTGCCATCTGCCCGTCAGCTCTGTGGGCTGTCTGTGGTCCTGCATAATTAATAGCAAACACATCCACTCTCAAGTGTCCCAATTTAGATTATAATCATTCTTAAGCTGCTTTAATTCCATTTTATAGGACAGTGTAAACGATAGACAAAAAAAAATGTGTGTAGCTTTTTCTGGTTTTGTTTTGGTACCAGGGATCTAACCATTGAGCCGCATCCCCAGCCCCTTTTACTTTTTATTTAGACAGGTCTGGCTAAGCTGTTTAGGGCTTCGCTAAATTGCTGAGACTGGCCTGGAACTTGTGATCCTCCTGCCTCAGCCTCCTGAGTCGCTGACATTACAGGCGTGTGCCACCATATCTGCCAACACATGAGCTTTTAAAACATTCTTTACCCATGTCAGGTGCATTGGTGCACACCTGTAATCCCAGAATCTTGGGGAGGCTGAGGCAGGAGGATTCCAAATTCAAGGCCAGCCTCAGCAATTTAGTGAGGCCCTAAACAGCTTAGCCAGATCCTGTCTCAAAATGAACTAAAAAAGGCTGGAGGTGAACCCCTGGGTTCCATCCCGTGGGTGGGAGTCTGCCCACATCAGACTTGGTTTCGGGGGGAAGCTGGTAGGCGGTTACCGTGGACTCTGAAGTGCTAAGTCTCACAGTCCCTGCACATCGCCCCCGGGAGGCACCAGACTGCACCTTCCCTCCCACCGACACCAAAGACTGAACTTGGTTTCCAAAATGTCTTCTGACAGCCAGTCAGTGACGGAGTTCAGGAGGCACAAGTGGGTTTTACCTCACAGGAGACAGCCCCCATCACTTGGTGACATGCTGTCCCAGGACAACAGCAAGGACTGTCCTGAGAGCAAGGATGTCCCCGGCTTCCTGAGAAGCCGACTCTCAGTCACCGAGACACTTGCGGCTTCACCCTGAACATGAGCCTCTCAGCCAGCTGAGGCGGGGTCACCAGCCACAGCACCAGCTCTATTTTGAGGGTCGAAGGAATGTTTCAGCTCCTCACCATGGTTCAGTGGACCCCAAAACCCAGAATCAAGTAACTGGTGTTGACTGGCCCCCCTCAATGAGGTGAGGGTTCTATGCACACAACCAACTTACCCAGAGGCTGGTTTTTAAGCTGGGGTTGGGGGATCAGGGTTACCCTCTGACCTGGTTAGGAAAGGGCTGGTGGGAAGATCCATCGGCCAACTGCAGGGTGACGGACTCAGAAACAGTTGAAGAAACGAGGAGTGCACACTCATGATCCCACTTACTCAGGAGGCTGAAGCAGGAGGATCTCAACTTCAAGGCCAGAACCTGCAACTTATTTTGAGAACTTGTGCTGGAGGCTGGGGATACAGCTCAGTTGGTAGAGGGCTTTCCTCGCATGCACAAGGCCCTGGGTTCACTCACACACACACACACACACACACACACACACACACACACGGTGCTGAAGTGCAGGTGAATGGTAGAGCACTGGCCCAGCACACGTGAGGCTCTGGGTCTGAGCTTCAGTACTGAGAAAACAAAACAAAAAATGGCTCAAGAATGTCGTCTACCTCAGGCCTTTTCGATTTCCCAGTATGAACTCGATTAGACGCATAGGGGCGGAGTACAGAGGTGGTGATGAATAGCACAATAGCGATCTGAATGTCAGGAGACACACTCTCCTGTCAGACTTCTGGCTCCGACAATCAGGAAGAATACTGGTGCCAATGCTGGGGACACCGTGTGTCATTTCTATGCTATCAGAATTATCTATTTTAAATGTCACCTTCCGTCAGCCCACACAGGTACCCACACACAGGTGCAGCAAATGCAGACGAACCAGGTGTTCACCTCTCAGTGGTCACAGTAGGGAAGCAGGGACCTTGTCATGACGCAGTGTCCCCTCTACCCAGCTCCTAGGGTGGGTGCTCAGCATGTATCTGTTGGATGATCTCATATAATTTCAAACAAGAAAGTAGCCTTTTTGCAAGTCTATCTTTATTTGTAAAAAATAATATACAACTAAAGCTAATTTGATTTTTTAAAATCAAAGTTCATTTAGTGATAATGTATATTTTATAATAAAATTGTAGTAAAATACTGACATTTGATAGTTTAAACAAAGTATTATTCATGTAAAAATTATGTTATATCATGTAAAATTTAATTAGAAAATTCATAGTTCACAAAAGTACATATATTTTGTTGACAGCTTGAGAACGTTATCATAAACTTACTTAAGATACACAACAGAATTCACAGTTAGGCTTGACATTTAGTACCGTAAGATTTTACACTGGACCCACTGATATTTGTGTTAATAAGGTGCACTTGAAATAACCGATTCAGACTACCTACCAATGAGTTGATATTTTATTGTATAACCAATCTATTGGTTTTACAATATGTCTAGTAATCAATTATTCCGCCAATAATTTAAAAGACAGAGATTGAGTTGAAAACACCAGACATATCTCCTTAATGGGATAGTTAAAATAAAAAGCATTAGCAGCCTTGATCTCCATTTTCATGAACAGATACAAGATAAATCTGTATTTTACAGTTAAAATTTGTACAAAAGTCAAGCCCTGAAGTATTTTTTCCCCAAGAGAAAAGTTCTAATGTTAAAACTTTGTTTAAAAAAAAAAAGTGGGGGGAGAGGGGGGAGAGAGGGAGGGAGGGGAGGGAGGCAGGGGGAGGGGGAGGGGAGGGAGGCAGGGGGAGGGGGAGGGAGGGAGAGGGAGGGAGTGGGGAGAGGTAGCATGTAAAGTGTTCTTACTTAATGTTGGACCCTCGCACCAACCACCTTCTGTCAAACATGAATGGAACCTTCTGCGTCTACCGATCTCTTGCCGCTCAAGAGTGCAGTTTCTAAGACTCGGAATGTCAGAGCAGGAATGCCGCTGCCAAGGGGGCAGATGGCCACCGTGCGGCCAGCTGGCGGTTTCTGGGTGACATGCCTAGTGGTGATGTGAACAGCACAGTGACGTCCTGAGTCCAGTGGTTGCACTCCTCAGGACTTGGCTTCTTCATATGCTCCACCATGAACTGAGAGCGTCCTTCAACACGGAGTCATTGGGATCTTCATTGTTTTAACAGCACACAATTGTCACAAGTGTGTCCACACTAGCCCTACGAAGGCTGATCAATAAATAACTCCTCGAGCCCCAGGGGCTCCCGGCCTGCATGCTCGGCGTCTGCACGCGACCCAGCGGGACCAGCCAGGGATGAAAGCAGCAGCTTCTAACCTGTCCTAGTTGATGGGTTGGAAAGTAATAAATAGCCACGAGCCCGACCTGCTGTGGACGAGCACAGCTCATAAAGTGAAGACAGTTTTCTAGAAATCCCAAAGGAAAACCCAACTGTTTTTGTATGAAAGTGCACGTTTGTCCTGTGTGTGAAGACCTTTTTAATCCAGGGTGACCGTACCAGGGAGGACGTGAAGAGCCATCAAAGGGAGCGACTCCAGTGGGACCTGGAAAGAGGCCCGGCTGGGGGACAGCTCCTAGGTGGCCAGTCATGGCACTGACTTTTAGGGCATCCGTCCTGCCGCACAGAACCAGTCTGCACCCAGGAAGCTGCGGCCAGGCGAAGCCACCGTGAGCAGCCGTCACAGCCTCAGGACCGGGGACGGAGCTCCTGTGCTGTGCAATCTGGGAAGCAACTCCTCGAAATGGCGACCGGCTTCTCAGGAACCGGGGTAAAGATACATTTGAGAAAACAAGTGGTTAAAATGAACAACAGAGGAACAACACTGGAAAAAAATCAAAACATAATACCGGGAACAGAAGGACTGAGGTCCCCAGTGTACAAAGGAGGCCACCAGCCCTCCTCACATCAAATTTAAGAACATACAGGGAAAACCGACGGGGCTCTGCACAGCAGGTTAAACATGCAGCCACTTCAAGCAGAAATGACCCAGCGCCGCACGCAGGTCTGGGAATGAGCGCCAACGTCCAGTTCTCCAGAGAAAAACACAACAGCACGTGATTTCACAAGCCAAGGCCCCTTGTTTTAGACTTAAATCCAGCTCAGAGTCCCGGGTTTATCTCAGCAGCACTGCCCACTTTAACCCCAGGTCAAGGCCGCAGCCCTCTTCCATGCCCACCCCTCGCCTGGTTCACAGGTATATGCTCCAGTCCCAGCCAGTCCCCAGAAAACCTCAGCTATGGCTTCACAAGGTTATGATTGTCCCATCTTCCTCCAAGAGTTTTTGATCTGGAGCTCGGGTTTCGAATTCCGTGTTTGTGCCACTTGCTACGGGTGCTAAGCTCACATCGTGGGAAGAAATAAAACCGTTCTGCCCGGACTCAAAACTGAGTTCTATCTGTGTTAAGGACTCCAGGCTCTCGGCCTCGGGGACGGCCTTGGGAATCTGCTGCGGCACGCCGTTGTCCTCAATGACGATGTCGTCTTCATCGCTGTCCTCGTCCTCTGGCTCGAAGCTTGGTTCCATCTGCTGCGGGTAGCCCACAAGGCTGTTATCGGTGGACTGGCCGGAGCTGCCGGAAGTCCGACTATTCCTGACAACATTGTTCCTCTGGTTCGCTGGTCTCACCGTGATGATGAGGTTGCGGCTGTTGGCGATCATCATGTCAGTCACTTGGTCAAGACTCTTCCCTGAGACTTCGATGCCGTTGACCTCTAAGACCTCGTCATTGACAGCCAGCAGTCCTGTGCTTTGAGCCAGACCCCCTGGGACAAGCCTGGAGATGAAGATCCCAGGGACCTTCTCCAGCCCGTGTGGCGTGACTCGGACACTTGAGCCGTCCCGGATGTAGAACCCCAGGGGCTTCTCGGTGCCGTATTTGTACAGACGAACCCGACGGTGTGTTTCCGGGAGAATGTCCACGTCTATGATGGAAGACACAGGCCTGAAGTCCTGGGGCATACTGATGACTATGTGTGGCTTTTTTCTGTGGTTGTCAGGACGTAACACATTGGTCAAAACGTTCTTCTTCTTTATCAGCGTGTCAGTACCGAAGGCACTGTAGTCTGCTTCTTCTGTTTAAAAATAAAATAAAATAGTTACAGAGACACTGTAGAAATGATCATTTGCCGCAGTTCAATCTGTACAGGGAGGACAACTCGAATGTACTTGGTACATAAACTAAATATCACATCATTCTAGTCAGGACATCACAGTGCGATGTGCCACACCCCAGAACAGCCACTAGGGGGCCTCTCAATCTCACATCACAAAGTCACCAGCTTGACACACGGCAGTGACTGTGGCAAACAAAGTTCTAATAGGTCTTACAAAGGTTTTTTTTGTTTGTTTGTTTGTTTTTAAGATGGGTCTAACTGTGTCGTCCAGGTGGTCTCAGGCAATCTTCCTGCCTCCGGAAACACAGGCGGAGGCTGCTCTGCCCGGCAGCACATGCATTCTTTACACATCATTTTAAACCAGCTACTTTAAATATGTTTTTCCTTCATTTGTTTAAAAGACTTCCAATTTGCATGCTTATATTCCACTCAAGGACACAAGAGGGATCCTTGATTCCCAAGTAAATCAATTCCAAGCAAAATCCAATAATCAACGCTGGAGAGGCTCTGGGGGAAGAGGAGCCCTAGCACACTGTTGGGGGACTGTGAATTAGCACAGCCACCATGGGGAGGAGCCCAGAGGCGCCTAGAGACCAGGCCCGGAGCCACCACAAGGCTCGGCCGCTCCACTCCTCAGTCTTGAACCTGAAGAATTACAGTCCTCTCACTTCGGGGACACACAGGCCTACGCTCACAGCAGCACAACTCACAACAGCCACACCAGGGACAGCCCAGGTCCGTCAGTGGATGAATGGATAAAGAAAGTGTGGCACTTACGTCCTGGAGTTAGATTCAGCCACCAAGAAAATGAAATTGTGGCATTTGCAGGAAAATGGATGGAACTTGGGAACATTATGTTAAGCAAAATGACCCAAACTCAGAAGGTCAAGGGTCAGATGCTTTCCCTCCCAGGTGGAAGCTACAGAGGAAAGAGGAGAAGAAAGGTGGCACAGAGGAGGGCCAAGGGAGGGCGTCTCATGGAAACTGAAGGGAGATCAACAGAGGACAGGGACGGAAGGAAGAGGGGAGGGAACCGGCAGGCACGGGGTCACACAGGCCTAATGGACCGTCCTACGTGAGCATGTGCAAACCTGTGACGACAAATCCCACCACGTACAACTACAGTGCACCAATCAGATATGGAAACAAGAACAAATCAAGTGGTTAGAAACAGGGCAGATAGTGTGATTAAACGAAGCTGGCGTGTAGCAAATACTTTGGGATTTTGATCTGCAAATGACTCTCTCCCTTGGTTTTGTATAGGTTTTTTTTTTTTTCTTTTCTTTTGGGGGGGTGGTACCAGGGATTGAACTTGGGGCACCTGCCCACTGAGCCGCATCTGCAACCCTATTTTGTATTTTATGTAGAGACAGGGTCTCACTGAGAGCTTAGCACCTCGATTTTTGCTAAGGCTGGCTTTGAACTTGCACTCCTCCTGCCTCAGCCTCCGTGTGTGGCACCACCTACGGGTTCCTAATCTTTCATTTTCCCAAAGAGGCAGAGGTATAGACGGGAGCGGTGGCACAGGCCTATAATCCCAGCAGCTCAGGAGTTCGCAAGTTCAAAACCAGCCTCAGCAACTTAGCAAGATACTGTTTCAAAATTTAAAAAAAAAAAATTTAAACGTGGGTGACTGGGGATGAGGCTCAGTGGTTCAGTGCCCTGGGTTCAACTAGTGGTATCAAAAGAGAGAAAAAAAAAATGAGGCCGAGGGTAAGATTTTTAACTTTTCTTCAGTGTGTGAAAGACAAAGTGCACTGGCACCCATGTCACAGTGACAGACAAGGAGGCCAGGCTCTGGCAAACCCGAGAGCTCCTAAGAAGGCACAGCTGCGCCGCAGCCCCGGGCAGGCTTTCTTCACGCCTTTACAAAGCCTTGTTTCCAGGCGAAATCTCGCCATTTTAAAACATTAACACCCCAATAAGAAAATACCTGTTTGCACCGAATTACAAACCTGGGGTTTGAGGTTAAAAGTCATCAATTTGTAATCTCTGACCTAAACTAAGGGAAAGAGGGGCCCCTGACCCAGACATTGTTCAACCCTGCGACTGAAGGGAGACGGTCTACAAGCAAAACATCAGAGGGTCAGGAGCGAAAAAGAAACAAAGTCAACAGCAAGAACAAAAGTTGAAGCCCTATCTTCAAACTGACTGGAATGAGGAGACTGGCGTGGCGCAGCGCGTGGTGCACTCGGAGGCTGTGGCAGAAGGATCCCAGGTTCAACTCATGGAGACCCTGCCCCATAAATAGAAATAAAATAAAATAAAAAAGGGACGTGGCTCAGGAATAAAGCACCCTGGGTTCAATCCCCAGTACGGCCGGGGAGGAAGGCAGAAGGTTCCCTGATCCCCAGAAAGAACTAGTCTGAAATTCTGGTCTCCAGGAAGCAACAGGCACTGCCTTCACCACCCAGTGCCCTGCTCTGTCCCCATTCTCACCCTCGGCGGTGACCATCACCTTCATCAAATAAGTTACATAGAAAGAACTGAACCAGTGGGCCAGCACGCCCAGTCCACAGCATGGTCACGGCCTGCGTCAGGGCACAGGGACACTTGTGTTCTTTTCTGATGCCACATGAACTCTTCCAAATCTACTTTGAGGTGAATGTGTAAGACTAGGGACCCCACTTGTGGCACTCCCCCCACCGGGACTCTCTTGGTTTCTAAGGTATTTACACTGTGTTCTTACAGAAACCGAAAGTTACTTACAATTTGGTGTTGGAAACAAGTCTGCTGATACACGAGGCTTGCTTCTCTGCAAATTTTGGCTAAGACTTTATTAACATTATCTTCTACTGAGTGTGTTTTCTCAAACACACACACACACACAACACACATACACACTCTTTAAATTTTAAAACAACCAATGATGAAAGCCTACACAACATTTATAAGGGAAATTCCAGAGTACAGACTGAGAACAAAGCCAAGTTGCCCACAAACCCGCTCATGGGAAACCTGACCAAAAAACCTCCGAATCTGCATAATTTGGCATCGCATCCCGACTCCATTTGAATGCTCTCTGCTAAATTCTCAAAAGCAATATGCTCCAGCACAAAGGCACCTTTGTTCTCCCATCTAGCTAATCAGTTTCCAGCCACTGGGAAAGAAATATTTTGGCAGAAAGCCAGGGTGCAGGGTGTTAGTGTAAAGTGTAAAGGTGAATGTCCACCAGGAACCCAGCGACTTTCTACGAGTGTGCACATGGGAGCACTCAACTCGGGGCGAGGCCGGAGTCTGCGCACCTGACGCACAGCGAGCCTCCACTGTATACAGCCAGATCCCACCACAGGCAGGACGCAGGCCCACGGAGCAGAACTACCAGCCAGCGTCACCGAGCCAGCAATCCCAGCCACCTACAAGGAACCAGGACCCACCTGGAAGGCCTGAGCAGCCAGTGGACGTGGCCACGCTCACCAGGCCAGTCCCTGAGGCTGACCTACGGGGAGAACGACAGGGCCTCCCTCAGCTCTTACTCCTTCGCATTGGTTCTGCAAAGCCTGCTCACCTGAGCCAGAGGAAGTAAGGGCCACTATGAGCAGCAGGCATAGAAACAAGAAATAAACTCTTGTCGTGAACAAAAAGCAAATCTGAAAACAAGAAACAGCTCTCCATGAACCCCACTGGCCCCACAGGGTCAGACCAGCCAGCCAATCAGTGACCATGCGCAGCGAGGGGTCACGAAAGCCAAGAGGTGCCCACTGGAAATTCAGAGGGAGACAGGAAATAAAATTACTGTTTAAAACGTTCTAATCCAGGGGTCTGACAGTTGTTCCCATCAAGGGTCAGAGAGACCTGTCTTAGGTACTGCCGTCCCTTGCAAAAGCAGCCATAGGCAGGACATAGAAGGAGCAGGGAAACTTATTTACAGAACACAGCCGCAGTCCTTAGTTTACAACTGCTCTAACGCAAATGGTTAAATAAATACATCTGGCAACCTTGAAAAGACTGAACAACACTTCAAGCAATATTCAAAATTTACAGATCCCTCCATTTCCCAGTATAGAAAACATTCAGTAAACACTATATGCCAGGCATCGTGCTCTGTGGGGCAGATTCAGAGAACAAAACAGACATGGCACCTGTTTTCAGGGTGCTTACTGTATAAAATTGGAAAGGACGGTGACTAACAAATGTCACATAACTACAGCATCACAAAGGCACAGCTAGGCACAAACGCGTCACCTCGACCCTCAGGAGATTCTAGGCAGCCTCGCCAACCTCACCCTCGTGAGACCTGTCTCAAAATTTATTTTTAAAAAAAGCGGGGCTGGGGAGGGGGCTGGGGGTATGGCTCAGCGACAGGGTGCTTGGGTTCAATTCCCAGCACCTCTCTCTCCACACACACACACACACACACACACACACACACACACACACAGGTGCTGAGGGCAGGAGCCTGGCTTGGTGCTAAGAAGATATTTCTTCAGGAAATCGAGGTTTCTGCTGAGACTAGAAAAGCCCAGGAGCTAATCAGGGAGAAGGAAAGAAGAACATTCCGGGCACAGGATGCAACAGAGAAGAGCCAGGGCAGGCAGGTGAAGGGCAGTCTAGGTAGGGGAGGGGGAGAGTGAGGAGTCCAGAGCCCACCCCAGGGGGCTGGGGCAGCCACAGGCAGGGCCTCCAGCAAAGTGTTGACCTTTGTGGACTTTGCCTCAGGCCAAGGGAGGAAGCCAAGGATTTCAAGGGGAGTGATGGTAATCTCATCTGGTCTGTCCACAAACTCCATGTGGCTGCAAGCTGGAAGTGACCAGAGGGAGGACGGGAGGGTACGCAGTGAGTCAGCACGGCGCCTAGCTGCAGCAGAGGCGGTGAGGACCGGGAGCACAGTTTTAACAGTCACGGTGACTGAGTGGAAAACAGGTATGTGCTCAAGGTGACACCCAGGTTTCTGTCATGAGGAACTGGTGTCACATGTTCAGATGTGACTCTACAATCTCTTCATTTCTGGGGTCATA